TCTGTACTCCCACATCCTGCTTGGATAACCCAGATTTCCTTCTGCTTGGTGGGCGATGTTCATGGCTGCCTCCCTCGGGAGAATCTCAGCATCTTTGTCTTGGTCGCCTCTGAATCCCTGAAGCACCTGTCCCTGCAGCAAACGCTCAGGAACTCAGTTAAGTTCAGCTTAGTCCCTATCCTGTTGGAGTCATTCCTTAGGTCCTTGGAGTCTACGTACTGTTTATGGAAGAAACCCAGGCTCAGTCTTGAGGTTAGGTGACAGGTTTTGATGTACTGCTACCTGGAGACAGAGGGTGTGGGGTCACACCTGAACAGAGGCAGAGGTGACCCTTGGTTGGGGCTCATTCTGTCACTCCCTCCCCTTTCTCCCTCACATGCATAGTTGGGGGTCAGGAGAAGGGATAAAGCCTGCTGAATCTTGTGGGACCTTGGGAGCCACCTTCTGTGTTGGTGGGGTGGGGCAGAAGCAAGAAAGCTTTGCTGACATATCATGGGCCGTGGAGGAAATCTAGGGCACTCTCTGTGGAGTTGAAAGGTAAGCCAGGACCCAAAGCACTGACCTGAACCCTAAAAAACTCTGTCTGTAGTTGTATCATCCATCTGCATCTGCATCCCTGGTGACCCAGGGAGCTGGGGGAGAGCCCGGCAGGGGCTCTGTCACCGAGTCAGAGGCTGGGCCATCAGTCTTGTTATCACTTCCCTGCCCAGAGATTCACTGTAAGTGCTCACACCTCAAGGGCATGGAGGACAGATGCCCAAAGGAGGTGGTGAGTGTAGGTGAGGGCAAAAGAAAGGGTGACTCCTCAAGCGGTGGGTGGTGGGTGGTGTGTGGGCACAGGCATGGGGTGTTGGTTCAGGAGATGGCAGCTGGTTGTGTGTGCTGTAGGATGAAGGGGGCAGTGCTTGGGGATGGCACCCATGACAATGGTGGGGCCCAGAGCCCTAAGGGCCACGGGCTTCAGGCTGAAGAGTTTGGACTTATCCCTTGCGAACTATTCTCTATTACATCATCTGTAGAGTAGGTCCAGAATTATGGCGCCCATGGATAGGTTGGAAAGGAGCATCTTCATTTACTCTATCAAGTGTCCATATTTTGTTTTTAATATTCTTTTCTTATTAGTGTATAGGGTAGAGGTGCGGAGATCAAATTCCAAAAGGATACAGGAGTAACGTGACTTTGTGTAATTTTATTCTTTTCAAATGAAGCAATTCCTGTTAACAAACTGTATGAGAAAATAACATTAAAATTCTATACCTTTGAAAGTTTTATAAAAACACACACATATATATATATTCCTTTGTAAGACCTTGTTTTGATTCTAAAACAGGGGATACATTTTTTCATAAATAACTTTTTAACCAAATAACTTATTGTAGAAATAAGAGAAGATATACAATTCAGTGAAAAGAAAAAGAATCTAAAAATCTTCATTACTTTTTCCTCAGAGACAGTAGTTGCCATTTCACTGCATATCCCTCCAAAATTCTTTCCATGGGTAGATTTGTATTTCTTTGTAAAATATAATTATGCTACCATAATGTTTTCAAATTTTTAAATTTAATCAATTTGACCTTTTTTTTTCATAGCAATAAATACGTTCAGCAGTGTAATTTTTAGTTTCTAACTATCGCAGGACTGTTCCTAAATGTATTCTCTTTTTGCGGGACATTTAGGGTGTTTCCAGTGTTTTGCTATTATAAACAACGCCACAAAGAACATCCTTGAAAATAAATCATTGCGCACTTCCTCTATTATTTCCTTAGGGTAACTTTCTAGAAGTGGAATTTTTAGTTCAGAGATGATGCACATTTTTTAAAAGGCATTTGAAATATATTGCTGAATTGTTTGTTGGAAAGGTTGTAGTGATTTATGCTCACGCCAGCAGTCCCAGAGAATTGCCGTCTGACCAATCCAAAGTGAGAATTTAGAGATAATAACAGAGCAGGTCAAGGAGGAATTGGTCTCTGGGGTCTTGCATGCGATTGCCTCAAAGTAAAACTGAATGAGCCATTATGACCTTGGCCTTAGCAAGGGAAACCAATTACTGGGCAAACCGAGGGACGGTGGAGAGCTTGGACCTCTTCGCTGGCTGTCTTCCTCAGATGTCATCTGACTGTTTTAACATGAACCCAGTAACTTTCAGGAAGATGTTGATGAATCATTTAAAAAATATCTGATTCCACCATTAAGAGAAGAAAATGCATTTCTAGGATGAACTGATTTCTAGGAAGTAGTTATACCAAAACGTAGTCCTCCCATGTTTTTAAAGGCAAAACAAAACAAAAAGAAAGCTTTGGCTGATACCTAGCAGTGGAATTTATAGGAAATGACTTGGGGAGCCCTATGGAAAGGAGAGCCTTCCGTGTGAGGGGGCTGTTTAACCGTCCTCTGCAGAGAAACAAGGAAAGAGGACTTGAATTAAGGGCATCATCCTAAGGGCAATATGTGATCTGATCCTGCATCATGGGGAAGCGTGACATACCATGAGAAAAAGGGGGGGAAAAGACCTTCTATGGAAACAGTCTGGGGTTTTGAACACTTTATCCCTGGAAGCACAATCCTGACCCGATGGCAAAGAGCCATCTGAACTTCAATGAGTTGGGCAAAGTTAACATTCAGTTTCCGCAGACTAACAAAATGTTTCCATGTGTTTGGATTACCAAGGGGTGCACACACCTTTCTGTCAACACTGCCATTCGAGCTTTTGGAGAAGTTCTGCTGCGATGGGAACGTTTCCTAGTTTTCAGGTTCTGTGCACCGATGGCTGATTGCGAGTGTGAATTGTGTGGCACTGGTTGAAATCCACTACGTACTGGTCATAGAGGACTCGCGGTCCCTGTGACCAGCAATTCCATATCTCGGTGCTCACCCGAGGTCAGCGCCTCACCAAGGGTAATGTGCGCGTGGATCAGCTGAGGATCTTGGGAAAGTAGACTCTAACTCCGCGGGTCCGAGGGGGCTTCTGGGATTCTGCATTCTAGTGAGTTCCCAGGGGATGTGGCTGCTGCTAGGTCTCTCAACCACCATCTGAACAGTGCAGCCCCGGGGTAGACGGTCTGAACCGCATTAGAATTACCTGGACAGCTCACGCCGGGGCTGCCCCCCAGCAGAATCCAGTCAGAATCCAGTCAGAATCCTCGTGGGTGAGACCAGGTGTCAGTAGGTTTTCACCTCCCCATGATTACCCAGGCAGCGGACCAAGGCAGGCTCCTTCACACGTGTGCAGGGAGGTAGACACAGGGATGTTCATCAATAAGTAAATTGGGTATATTCAAAGAGAGGTGCCCGAGAGCTGCTGAGATAACGGAATATACCTCCATGGCTTAACTTGGACACACCTTGAAAATACAGCGCTGAGCACCAAAAGCAAATCAGATACCACTGATATTCACTTTAAAGGCACAAAACAATAGATGTAGTGGATCTGGTAAGAGATACATAAGGATGATGGCTGTATCACTTTAGGATAGAGGTTACTCCTGGGGGGTCCAGGAGGGAAATGGGATAGGAATGGATTCTATCGAATTTGAAATAATTTCTTTCTATTAAAAAAAGATATGAAATAGTAGAGAATGAACAAAAGAAGGGAGGGAGGGGAAGGCAGAAAGAGAGGGAGAAAGGAAAAGAAAGAAGAAAGGGAGGGAGAATTCTAGTCTCAGGACTGTGTCTGGCTGTTTCTCACTGACTTCTTAGACTGAAATGTGTTTCAGCAGGACACCGCCTGCCCATTCTCGAGCAGCTCAGAACATTAGTAAGACCAAACAAGGTTCTAAAATTATTAGCTAGAAAGAGATTCAGGAGGGCGATTTATTCCCACAGTAGATGTTTCCACTCGTGATGACCCGAACATCATGGCAGGCTTGCCTGCTTTGGGCCAGTCCAGAGGACCGAGACCAAGGCTTTCCATCTCTCGTGTGAAACAGACACAGGAGAAGCAGCCTCCGGAGGCTGCAGTGAGCTGAGAGACCCTGGGATTAGGATTCTTGCCCTGGTGTCTCTCAGCTCTCGGGGACCCCAGGAAGGAGCCCTGTGTGCCAGTGGTGCCCTGAGGACCCCTCCACCCAAGCTGTTTGTGTGGGGTGATCCCAGCTTGTGTTTCTGTTGGGGATCACCTGCTCCTTCTCCCCAGGGCCCTGTCCTCCTGGTCCTGCCGGGGTCCCCTCCCATACATGGCAGCGGAGCGTGATGCTGCCTGCATCCTGTGGGGTGTTTATACCACAGCTGTGGACTGTGAAAGCCAGCCCGCCTCCTGCAGGTGTGAGTTAGTGGCAAAACCAAGTTCCCTGCAGGAAAAGCATGTAACTGACAGCTCTCTCTTAGAAACCCAAGCGCACAGGAGGTGCTAGCCTTCTGGTTGACCTCCACTTTCCCTCCAGTTCTGTGCTCCATAGTTTTCCATCTTTCACACAAATACTGTTGTGTTTTTCTTGGTAATCTATAATTAGCAACCTCCTGACATGTGTGGTCTTAGTTTCATATAAAGATGCCAGTAGTTTTCTAAGGAAAGAAAATTTTCATTTATTCTTATTTTTTTCCCTCATTCTTTCTTTTTTTGGATTGAAGTACAGTTGATTACAGTGCTGTGTTAGTTTCAAGTGTGTAGCAAAGGGATTCAGTTACACGTATGTCTATAGCTATAGCTGTTCTTTTTCAGATGAATAAATGAATAAATAAAAATGAAAAGAAATTAATAAAAAGAGAAGCCCATCCCTGTGGGAAACCTTAGATTATCTGAGCAACAAAAGCAGGTGGTGTGAATAATCCTAAACTTTCAGAACAATTCACCTGAAAGACAGTGGTCTCTGACTGAGTCAGTTTGTTCCCCAAAGATGATCTCCTGGGACCAGTCACTGAGCCTGGCTTGAGGCCGTGCTTCTGGAAGAGCAGGAAGGGTGGTCTGGAAATCTATGGCTGGCAGGAGATCCCACCTGGGATGTGGCTCTGCCCCAGAAGTTTGTCTCCAGGAGTTGATCAAATGTGCTTGCATCCCCTTTCAGATCCTACACTATGGAGTACAGACCATGTCCGGCAGTGGCTGGAGTGGGCAGTGAAAGAATACGGCCTTCCAGACGTCGACATCTTATTATTCCAGAATATCGACGGAAAGGAACTGTGCAAGATGACCAAAGACGACTTTCAGAGGCTTACCCCGAGCTACAATGCTGACATCCTTCTGTCGCATCTCCACTACCTCAGAGAGAGTAAGACGGTCCCCACTCCAACAGGGATCCCTGTCGAGAGGTTCTTGTTAACCTGAGATGCAGAGAGGTCCATCCCCTTTCTGCCCCAACCCGATTCCCATTTAGGATTGAGAGAACTAAATGCTTAGAAGGTGATGACTTAGACGAATGTGTAGTGAGTAGCCCTGCTGCCTCCTCCAGGGTCCCCCGACCAAGAAGATCACATGTCAGAGGGAAATACATTGTTTATTATTTATTTGGTCACCCATTATTTCATCTCCACGATGCCTAAATTTGAAAGAGGAACCTTACAGAAAGGCTTCTCCTTGATGAGAATGATGGAGTTTATCTTCCCTAAAGCCAAACCAAGCTCCCCTTCCATATCCCGCTGGAAGATGACACGAGCGAAGTGTCTGCTCGGTATCTTGAGGTGTGGCCCAGCCTGTCATAATGGGAATGGCATACTGGCGATGAGAGGCATGAATCCACAGAGTCTGCTGCATGCTTTACTTTTTCAAATGTCAAGCATGATCAGAAGGAGATGTAGACGTAGTGCAACAATGGGTGGTGTGAACTCTTGAGTGTCAATGCTTTGCCTGGCATCCCAACCACTTTTTCCTGGAATTAAACATGGGCCCCTCATCCGGGTTTTAACACGCTAACAAGTAGCAGGGCCATGGACAGATTTCCAAGCAGCCCTTAATATTAGGGTGGGGACTGGGGTGGGGATGTTTGTCTTTCTTCTTCTTCTTCTTCTTCTTTTTTTTTTAAGGAAGGTCATTCGCTCTCTCTTTTTTTCATTTGGATGTTGCTTTGTGTTTTGTTTTGTAGCACCTCTTCCACATTTGACTTCCGATGATGTTGATAAAGCCTTACAAAACTCTCCACGGTTAATGCATGCTAGAAACACAGGTAATGCTGGCCCTGCCCCTCCCCACAGGACAGGCATAGGCTCTTGTCTGCAGGCTGCATGCTTTCCAGGTAGAACGTGGGACGTTCATCAGGTTGAGGGGTCCGTGGTAGGTTGGAGACTCTGTGCTGGAGGCACACAAGGCAGGGGGCACTCTTTGGTCCCTGAACACTTCCCCCCTCTCCTCGCCAGGGGAAGGATTTCTCTCAACCAGGAGCTGGGCGGAATCAGCCTTTGGCCATAGCCTTAGCCCGTGTGCTGGATTACAGTCAGTCCTCCAGTAGGCACTGTGCTGATTATAGAAATTGAAAGCATCTTCTGGATAAAGTGACCCTTAGGATTCTCCAATTTTTTTCCCTTTATAAATTTTTATTGTTAAAGGAATGTTAACTTGGACAAGCAGTTTTATTTTCCCCTTTGGTAAAGGCTTAGGCCATTTGAGTGGTCTACGTTAATCTCCTCGCACAGACTGTACCTTTGCAAAAGGAGGTTGGAGGGGATGTTGCTTGTTTTTTGTGAGCTTTGGTTGAGAGGGAAACTGTGTTATAATTTTGGCAGATATGAGATTAGTTACTAACCGAATACCTGCTATCCTGTGTCTAACCACTGAGTCTACCTTTTATGTATTTGTTTGTTTATCTGTGTATTTGTTGTGCTGAGCCTTGTGGAGTTTAACATACTGCTTCTCCCCAGCTAACCCTCCTCCCTCCCGTCCTAGTAAAGGCTGAGCGTAGAGGCTGCGCTTTCTGTGGATGAATGTTCTCCTGGTCCCATGCATTTCCTCCCTCCTGATGGAGACACAACAGAAGCATGGCCTCAGGCTGCTCACCCCCCGTACCAGCCTGCAGGGACCCTCTGCCACCCCCAGGCTGGGGAGAAAACCATCAAGTGGGGGAAAGATTAGGTCACCCCTCGGAAGGAAGCCAGCCAGTGCACGGGCAGCCCTTCCATCGAAGTACAGCCATCTCCCAAATAGTCGCCTTGTTCTTTTTAAATGTAGAGTGTGAGGGAGTCCAGATTTGAGACTTACAGAGTAATGAGTAACGGTCTTGGTTCTCAGTATTCAGGACTGAGTAATCTAAAGTCAGAAAAAAAGTTGCTTTGAGTCAGTAGTGCACTTTTTCAATGTAAGTTGCACACATCAGCCTATTAATGACTTTGGGCCAGAAATACCAAGTTCCTGAGACAAAGTCATCTCCCCTGTTCAGAAACACCTTTGAGACACACACTTTCTGGTAATTTCGTAGTTGTTTAAAAGAACTTTTAGCAGTAAGTGAAAGTTTCAAAAAGCTCTGATTTCATTATTTTTGTTATTGCAAAACCTAGAAGCAACCGAAACACAGAACAACCAATTCCAAATGGGCTAAACTGTGAAAAGGGGGTTTGTTTTCTGCCCCTGATTTGCGCATTGATTGAGAGAGAGAAAGGGAAAAAGTGCTTTTGGGGAGAGATGTGGATTCATTTTTAATAAGATCCATACATTCCTTGGCAAAATAGTCATAATTCTTTGGTACTTACTTTCCAAGGGCTCTGTAAGATGTTTTATGGGTTTTTATACACTTTGATAATTACAACACCCACCATAGAACTGTTTTAATAAAATGAGCTTGCTGGGGATGGGGCAGGGGAGGGGCGGGGAAGACACACAGCGGGGCTTCAGGAGGAAGTCGCACAATCAGAACACAAGACATCTTGTGCCAAGCGGGGCACAGCAGAGCTCCGCGTCCCCTCCCATCTTCAGGATGTGTCTCTGCCCCGTGTGCTGGCCCACCCTCCCGAGTCTGTGGCAGGTTCCAGGAGGTCGTCTCCCTCTGCTGTCACGGGGCAAAGTGGAGTAGGCGCTGTAGCTGAGATGGATGACCACAGCCAAAGACCTTCACGTGTTTTGTCTTTCCTTTTGTCTGCAGGGGGTGCAACTTTTATTTTCCCCAATACTTCAGTATATCCTGAAGCCACGCAAAGAATTACAACTAGGCCAGGTACGCAAACACCCTGTGTCATCTGGTCATTGAGGGACCTCCCAGGATGTCCCGGGAGAGCCGTGACCTAAGTCACGTGACACAAAGCCAGCTCATCCTGGATCTGAAGCGAGTCCTAAACAGTCCTGTTCTGCCTCTGGGGATCTGGAGCCTAGAAGCAGTCAGACCGTTCATTCAGAGGTGGCGTGAACAGTCCCTGAACTGCGGAGTTAAAAGCCGGTCGGCCCCTTAACTAGCTGCTCTCGATGCCTGGCGATAAAGAATCAGCCCCACTTTGAGTTTACAGAGGCAAATCCGTGTCACCTGTACTGGCCAGGGAACAGCTCAGAGCAAGAGGCATTCCTCTTACATAGCACTAGTGATGCGTTCCCAGCTGTCGCAAGAGCAGGTGGTTTCAGAGCAGAATCATGCCGTTGATAAAACTTACACCTGAATCTTACTTTATGTCTTTCCTGATGACTGACTTAAGTAATTAATGCATGTGTCACTCACACAAAAATATCACTACTTATCAGGTGCCTATTAGTGCCAAGCAGGACATTAGATTCTGGGAACCTAAAGGTGACCCAGACATCAGAAAGCGCCCTGTGTTCAGAAAGCCGGCCTGCTCCTTCCCACATGTCCACGGAGCGCCTCAGCGCCAGCCCCAGTCACACAGCATGAGGTTCCAGATGTTTCAGTAGAGCCACCCAGAGCCAGACGCAGACTCACCCACGTAGATGTTTAACCTTGCAGGCTAGTAACCTAGAGCTGGGGAGACAGACGGGGATGTTTAACCTAAAGCACTGACTTTACAGTAGAGGCCCCACCTCTAAGGATAGAGGCTGTCGGAGCAGGAAGGGAAAGGCGTCCATCCCCCAGGAGAGGATGGAGGAGGCTTCCTGGAGCAAGGGCCGTGCACCAAAGGAGGATCAGGTGTTGCTGGGGGAGAAGGAGGGCTTGGCATTGGGCAAGCATGGTTTAAATGTCTGTTCCCTTCCCGGGACGTACAGCCTCATGAGCTCGATGACATATGACAGCCTCGTGATCGAGGCCACGGGATGGTTTCTCTATATTCACACGTGGATCTAGGATTCCGCCTGCTTGGACCCGAGCTGTTGGGCTTTGACCTCTGTCACGTGTCCAGGCTGCACGAGTCTCAGTTTGAACTGGTCCCAGGGACTGAGCTTGCCGCTGCTCTTTCTGCCCAGTGCAGAAGACGAGGGGCCGGGGAGCTAAACAGCCCGAGTGAAGACGCTTCTCAGAGTTGTTCTCACCCTCACATGGCCCTGGTGCCTCGTAGTGACTTCAGGCTGGCGATCTTTTCTTCTCCAGCCTCAGGGAGAAAGTTTGCTCCCCTGTTCCTCCTGGGCAGGTGGTAGACAGTGTCAGCCAAAGTGCTTAGTCCCCTCTGTCACAGGCCATTTAATGGTAGACGGGGAGGACCCAGGGTCTGGAGTGAACTAGATTGGCGCTAAAGGAACCCACTGTGCAAATTGAAAAAAAGGAAAACTGAAGTGCACACGTCCCACTAGCTCTAGAGAATCCCGAGTTCACCTCCAGCAAATGCACCCTTGGGAGAACCTGGGAAGTGGAGGAAAATTGCAATGATTTTGTGAGCCTTCTAAAGAACTTTCCATTCATGCTCACAAAAATAAAAGCAATCTGTAAAGCATTCGGCCAGGGTGTGTTTGTTTGAAGCGATCTCATAGATGCCTCCGACGGAGTTGCAAAAGCCAGGGACTGTGAGCTGGTGTCAGGGTTGTGTGGAAAGATCGCTACGCTGGTCCTGAGAGTTGGTTCAGTACAATGGTCTGCGCAACCAGCTGGCCTTCCTGCTCCATAGAACAGTGGATCCTGGAGCTTCCTTTTTTCCCTCTCTGTTTTAGGGTATGGTGGATTTTGAAGACATGGTGCCTCAGGTGTTAGACAGGAGAGTGGCTGGGGGATGATGGCTGGGACACCCCTCAGCCCAGGGAGAGACAAGGGTGGCCAATGCTAATTCACCTGGCAAGGCTCAGATCATGCTCTTCTTTGGGTCTGTCATTTGAGGATGACTTGAAAGAGATTCAGTTTGTCCTAGAAATACTTGTTTTGATGACTGCTACTGTGATTTTGAATGGAGATGCAAGTATTGGTCTCTGAGCTACAAAGAATTTAAATCAGAGTAACTGAGCCAGAGAACAGTTTGCTGTCAGCCAGATTCACGGATTTGACCTTGAGTAAGAGACTTATTTGTATACCTTGGGCGGACCAGCGATAACTTTGCAGGAGTGGTTTTGTCAGTATGAGAGTCTGTAACGGGTCAGAGGGAGAACTTTGTGGTGACCCAGGGAGGATGGGTATTGCAGGAGTCACTGAGGGAGGGAGTCACTGGGAATCTGTGTCCCTGTGGTCAGTGGGCATCTGACTGCTTTCAGGAGGGGTGACTGCTGACTCTGTGCTTGGGAGAGGTCCTTGGGCCCTTGGGAATAGAGACCCGAGTTCCTGTTCCCGGGCACTCTTGGTTTGCTGTGCCCCCTCCATTCCTACATGCAGGGAAGCGGGGGACTCTTTCCTCCTGCACATGCGGAGTCCTCCTTCCTGGTGCTCCCTCCCCACACCCCCTGCCCCTCCTCCTTCTTTTTCTTCCTGCCTTAAGTAGCCACGCCTAATCTGCCTTTTCTTTTCATAGCCTGACCTTCCAGTAGGTCATGTATCCCAGCGCCCCCTTACTGCCTGCACTCCACGGACCATTCAGCGACCTTACAGACAGCCCGTGACAGACAGTACACTCTATGTTCACGCCCCATCCCCTCTCTTGCCATACTTGTTCCTGTTTATTTTTTCCAAATGTTCCTGGTTCAAAATGCACCTTCCTTCATGATCCCTTTGTTGAATTAGCATTTCAGTCAGTTCCTCCTCTATTCTTGGAAAGTGCTAGCACATAGGCATAGCAGTTTGCATTCTGTTTTTATGATCATATTTTATGGTGTCGCATCGGTTTCCCAGGTAGTCACTTATTAATACCAGAAGCACTTTCCCCATCTCCCCCGTAAGCATCCTTCTTTGCTGAACGCATGCCTTTTGGGGCCATGGCCCTTTGAGGAGTCAAGGGGCATGAGTAGGGACAGTTCTGACTCAGAGGAACTTGTGAGCTGGCTTTTGACCTCGAGATGTGCCACCCTGCCTGGCCTCTTAGAAGCAGTGTCTGTGAAAGCTCTGGGGTGTGCCGAGGACTTTCTGTAACCCCCCTCTCCTTCTCCATCACCGTGGCAGCCCATGCACCATGAGGCACACTGAGAATGTTATCAGGAGCCTGGAGAGTTGGGCCTGTGAGTGCAGCCTTCACTTCCACTTTTCAGCTGGTGCTCCCCAAGGGTTTGTCAGAATCTTAAATGATTCCTCCTTTGGCGTTGGCAGCTGGGCGCCATTTGGCATCTCCAGTCACCACGAGACAACACAGCTGATGCCCTTTCTCCTCAGTTAAGTGCTCTGTAAAGCCTGTATCACAGCAAATGACCAAAAATGTGCCTTCTTTACTTTGCCCAGGCGACGCTGTAGCCACAGAGATCTGCACACCTGGGAGGGAAGGGGAGGCAAATGCCCCCAGATCTCCATGTCTTTGACAGAGGAGTTTAGAGAACTGTAGGAAAACTAGCGGGAAACCAGAGGGGGTTGACTTAATCATGCTAGTAGGCTTGACTCTAAAAATTCCTTGCATTAAATAGGGGTTTATAGATTGGTTTGGGGCGATAGCCCTCTGTCTTTCTGTCTTTGCCACTAGCATCTAAGTTCACCAAAGGTGGGCAAATTTCATCCTTTCACAGCCAGTGTGCAGGGAGCCAGGGACCTCCGGAGTTCCTTTGTCAACGTGGCGTGGATCTTATAGAATGAGGATGAGCCCTCTCATGATCCAAGTTCTGGTCCTTTAAAAAATAAAGTGGTGGGTGGACGTCAAGAGGGCTAGAGGGCTGTTCTTCTGTAAGCTTGAAGAAAGGAGAATATAAAAAATCCTGCAAGAAGGGCAGCGAGGATGCTGCCATAACTCACTGATGTCCAGGGAAGGGAGTGGGTTGGGGAGGAATCTTATTCAGAATCAGAAACTGGTCGTCACTCCCAGTAAAGAAACAGAGGTGCTGGTGTCGGGAGAGCCAACGCCAGGCAGACTCCTGTGTGTGGTTTCCTGTTTGGGGGTCTAGATCAAGGCATAGAGCATACTTCTTTGGTAATCCGTATGAAATAGGGTTACTAAGCTATCTATGAAATGGCTTTTAAAAAGTTCAGTTTTTAAACATGATCTGTTACATTAGAAAATAGCAGGGCCAATGCCAGAAAGCAGCCTTGCCTGACACAGGACCTTCTGCCAAGGGTATGAGTTAATTACCTTGAAGATTAGAGCTAAAGGGAAATGGAGAGTGGGTGGAAATGACACCAGGAATTAAATGCAAACTGTGTTCTCACTAGAAGTCCTATGATCTACTGTCCAGAAGGGGCTAATGTACATGGAGTAATAATTTTTCAAGCAGCCAATGAGTAGAACTGCACAAAACTGGCCCTGTTGGAGGTGGTGTAGCTGCTGACAAAGTCCCTGAGATGATTGTCTCTCATCTTCACAGGGCTTAGCTCAACAGTCCCCAATGTCACGTCCCCCAGGAGGGGGCTTGCCGCCCATGGCATGTGATCGGTAGCTGACAAGAGAGTCAGAATTTCATGAACAAAAACAAAAGCCCACTTATCTCCCAGGGCAATATGTTTATGAACACATTCATCATTGTTCATATAAACATCTCAGATCCTTGGCTGAGAATCAGACTTGGAGTTGTTTAGGTCCGGACTTAACTTTCAAGGGAGGATGAGACATGGCTTTACACCCTAAGGACTTTATGAAGAAAGCGTCTCAAAATATTTTTCTCTGAGTAGTTTGATGTTTAATTTTTTTCCAGCCACCTTTCAGTGGGCAATATTTTTAGGTTTAAAATAGCAGCCAACCGACCTACTGACACTTGCCAGGAATTCCATTCGTGGTCTCATATTTCAGGTAAAAGCATTCAATCTAGAACTCTTCCCACACATACATGTATTTATATATTTATATATTTATTTATTTTAACACACTCAAGTAGTGTTTCTGAAACCATTATCTATAGGAACACAGATTTCTAGAGGAGAACAGTGGGAATTGTCTACAACAGGCTCTCTCAAGCTTTAGCGGGCGCCCAAGTCAACTGGGATCTTGTGGAAATGCACACTCTGACTCAGTAGATCTAGGGTGAGATTCTGCATTTTTGGGGGGAAGGGGGAGGTAATTAGGTTTATTTATATTTTAACGGAGGTACTGGAGATTGAACCCAGGACCTCATGCATGCTAAGCACACACTCTACCACTGAGCTCCACCCTCCCCATGAGATTCTGCATTTCTAACAAGCTCCTGGATGTTGCCAGTATTGCTGGGTCTGTGGACCACACTTTGCAAATTGAGGATCTAGAACCTATTTCTGGATTATCTGGCTTTTTCACTTGGTAGACAGGAACCCCTTGGTGATATGCCTGTCTGCTCCTGAAGTCGGCTACATGCTCTTACATTGCCCTGCTAATCGATTTTTCTTTCTGAGACAATTCTCAAATTGAACCTCTGGCTAAGTATTTTCTAGACAAAATGCAACTGGATGAGAATCCGTGCACAAATGCTCCCTGAGACATAAGTTGAAATTGAGTTGTAAATTGATAGCGGCTGCAGATTTGATTCCCATGTGTAACCTCAACACCAGGAAAGTGAGAATCTGAGGAACTGGGTGGGAAAGGCTTACTGTCCAAAGATGCAGAAATGCCAGCCGAGAGGGAGTGGTGAGCAATAGCAGAGTTTCAAAAGGAAAACGATCAACCACAACCAGAGCTCTGGAGGGTAGGGTTTCACAGGCCACACTCGTGGAGATGCTGTGGCCAAACAGACTGAATAAATTAAGGCAATTCTGTGTTGGATTTCACGTTGCATTTCACTGCTATTCTCTCTGGGAGAGGAAAATAGGAAGAGACACATCTTTTGCAACATAGTTAAGCTTTTTGAAGGTTGACCCACCAAATTTCCAATTTTAAACAAGGTTTAAACATGGCTCTGCCCTCCAAGTGAGATTGTATAGCTATCCCCAGGTGTCTGGCAGCAGAATACCTGCTGAAGAACCTGGCTGTGCTGTTCGGCTGGCCCAGAATGACGCATGGCGTTGAACTGAGAACCATCAATCCAAGAAGACGTAGTTTTGAAATAATTCTGCAGTAAGAGTGCATGTGGAAATAGCTTTGTGTATGCAGAGTTAGTAAGAGCATGCATAATGTTTCTTGAATATATTTGTACTTAAAAATTTTTTTACAAAGTTTATTCCAGGAAGAGAAACTCATTGAGAGATAAAACTGTTTTAAAATATTTTTGGTATTTTTAAAAGAAACTTGAAATGACTTAGAGTCATAATCATTAACAGAACTTGCAGTGAGCCTGCAGAAGTATAATTATTCAATTTGCATATGCAAAGTGTGGAAGGTTTGTGGGACAAGTGGCAATACGTTATAAACACAAAAAAATCATTGGCATATACTTCTTTTGGGGGGGTAATTAGGTTTATTTATTTTAATGGAGGTCCTGGGGATGGAACCCAGGACCCCGTGCGCTCTACCCCTGAGCTCTACCCACCCGCTCCTCACTGGCTTACCCTCAAGCTGTCTACAGTCATTGCTAACATGTTGCCGGGGCAATACTGTCTGAGTCTTGCGACTGATTTGACGCAGTTCATTTCAGAGAAATTCTAAATTCATTAAGAGAAGGAGAAAGAGTAGACTTTGGCATAGAACAATAAGTAGAACTTGCAGACTGATTTAATATAAATGGATGAGAATTTAAAGGGCAAATGAGGGGTGGCTGAGAGAGGCAGCTCGCAAATGAGGGACTAAGAAGGCAGTGCTCGTTTCCACGGATGGAGAAGAGGAAGGATCGCTGAGTGTCATTTGGCGGATTTAGGGTCAGACCTCAAGCGGGAATCGACTGACTCGTCAGCGTTGAAGGAAGGCTCTGTTTCGGACAGGTCATGAAGCCAGTAAAGGGGTGGACCTGGGTCAGCACCAGCTGGAAGCAGGGCACGTTAGGCTGTAAGAAGCGTTTGATGGAGTCTTGACCTGATTGTAGGGCATTACCTTAAAGAATCAGCCAGCTCTGAGAGAAGCCATCAGTGCGAGTTTTCAGATTAACGGGGGAAAATGTTAGGTTAATAAAATAGACAACATCATAATTTGTAAATCAAATCCAAATCTCATGGAATCCAGGTTGAATGTCCCTTTGGATAACTGAGTTCTCTTGCACAATATTTATTCTGATAAATAAAACACAAAACAAAAAGCGCATGGAATAGCTGTTATAAAATTACATCATTGATCTTTTAGTCAATTTTTTTGTCTTTACAGATTTACCTTACGAACCACCCAGGAGATCAGCCTGGACCAGTCATGGCCACCCCACCCCCCAGTCAAAAGGTACCGTGTTGGCTTCCGCTGCCTTGAATCCTCACATCACAAGGCAGAGGATAACTGTTGAGAGAGTAAATAATATTTCTGTAGCCAGCCTATGCTTTCTCAACATGAAGTGTTTGTCCCTTTGGCAACAAAGCACAACTCATCTTTAAATGCAATGGCTCTTTCTCTATTGGGGTTATACCTATTTCTATAACAAAAAGAAATGAAAGAAGTGAATTTTATTTTATTTGTTAAATATTTTATTACTATTTTTATTATTTTAAGAGAGGAGATAATTAGGTTTATTTCTTTAATTAAATGGAGGTACTGGGGATTGAACCCAGGACCTCATGCATGCTAAGCAGGCACTCTACCACTGAGCTATACCCTCCCCCTATTTATTTTAGACTGCAGTTCATCTTCATCTGTTTTGTAAACTATCTCAATTTTTTTTTTTAGTTTTGGAAAAAGTAGGGTACAAATACATTTTTTAAAATAACGTAAAGCACCCTATTTCTGCTACAGCATTTACATTGCACTTTGTTAGAAGGGACAGTTTTTACCATAAGATGCTTCTTGTTCTAAGAGTAAGACTATTCTGTTAATCGCTGAGGTAACTGTTGGAATGATGATCAAAGACCAGCAGCCAAATGCAAGTTCCAGCTAATTGTCTCTTTCACTTTTGGATTTTTCAGCTGCTCAGCCGTCTCCTTCCACAGTGCCCAAAACTGAAGACCAGCGTCCTCAACTAGGTATGTTTCAGGGGGCGTCCTGACGGCCATGAGAAAAGTAACTCAAATGTGTCAATTTCTAAATGAAATTCATGTTCTTTTGTGTTCTCTGTGCTTGCTCCGTATGGAAAGTGGGGGCCAAATGATTAGTCTACTCAACTGGGATGATTTGAGATTTGGCTAAAACATTCCCCCAAACCTCTGCAATAAATATGGAAAAACCCATCAGGCTTGCACACAGGCTGCATCTTTGTGACGTATGAGATGAATTCTTTTACTCTCACCTCCCAGGCCACGTGCAGCAGCGGCAGCATGTGTGCCAGGTCCAAGGCGGGGACACGGAGGAAGGCTGCTGCGGCCAGCACGGCCCTGGGACCCACTGTGGACTGAAGACATTCACCCCCTTTCTGTCCTGTGGTGGAGGGAGCACTGGGCTGGGTATTGGGAACCCCAGGACCAAATCTGAGCTTGGCCACCAGCAGGAGGCCTTTAGCAAGAAGCTTCTCTCAGACCCCCACGGCACCTTTTCTAATACAGGAAACGGCGCCTGGTGACTCTGGTGTGGGGGGCATTTTCCACTCTGAAGTCCGGGTCAGCCTTGTTCCCGCAGTTGCATCAGTCCTGGCCACAGCGACGTCTTTGGAACTTGACTTCTTTTCTCCTTCTGCCGTAGATCCTTATCAGATTCTTGGACCAACGAGTAGCCGCCTTGCAAATCCAGGTGAGATACTGTTGATCATTCTGTTCTTCCACAGTTATTTTTTTGGCAGCGGCTATTTTGAAAGAGAAACTTGTATTGCTGAGAAATCTTTTCAGCTGAACAAATTTAAGTTTTAGGTCTCACTGGATTATTTGCCTAAGTGGAAAAGAAAATGGATCAGGCTATAAATTAAGATGTAGCTTCAGCAAAGAGCATTATTACCCAATCCAAGCTGTGGCGGTTTCCCTAGGGCTGCTCTAAGAAAGGGGCTTAGACAACAGACATTTATTGTCTCCTGGTTCTAGAGGATGGAAGTTCAAAATCAAACTGTTAGGGTTCGTTCCCTCTGTGGGCCGTGAAGGAAGGAAGGAGTCCAGACCTGTCTCCCTAGCTTGTAGATGGGCCTCTTCTGCCTGTATCTTTTAACCTCGTCCTCTCTCTCTCCATCTGTGCCCAAATGTCCCTTTTCATAAGGACACCAGTCATATTGGATTAGAGTCCACTCAAATGACATTACTTTAATTTGATGACCTCTCTGAAGACCCTATTTCCAAATAACATCACGTTCTGAAGTCCTGGGCAAATCCAACGTATAAATTTGTGGGGACTGACACAATTTAGTCCATCACACAAGCAGATAAAATTATATCTTAAAAAGAAGAACCGTAATTACAACCCCGAGGCTTCAAATTTAGCATCATCTTCGATGAATGGTCTGTTCCTGAGCCTCAAGGCTAGAAGAAAGTGCAGATTCTTAACGGACCCGTTTGTAACCTGTACCTTGCCAAGGATCGTCACCTGTCATCACGTTTCAGTGCCAACCAAATTGTTGGATTTGTTTGTATTCAGAGCAGAACCAGCTGTGCTGGCATCAACTTCAGAAGTTCACAGCATATGTTTGCCTATTCTAAACAGTGAATTCAAATACCAGTATGTCAGAGGCGTATTGCAAATACAAGCTGGAATGTATCTTTCCTAAATATCGAGGCCAAAATGGGGTGGGAAACGGGACAATTTAGATTCCATCAGGATACATCCCCCACAAGGAATCTATGCTTTTGAGAAGTATAAATATGATCACTATCGAGCGCCCACATCTTTGACTTTAGCTCTTAGTTGATGTCAACTAGTTCAGCAAATACTTTTTGAGCAACTGAGCAGTGAGAAGGGTCTGTTTTGTTTATTGCTGTACCCCCAGGCCTAGACCAGGTTCTCAATAATTATTTGTTGAATAAATGAATGCGAGGAGTAACACGATACCATCCTTGACCCAGAAGCAGCTTACATTCCAGTGGAGAAGTGGACATAGGTTTTTTCCAGCATCCACTTGGTGGCCACGTCTCCTGGGTCTCTGGTCCCTCCTCATACTTGTGCCCAGCGTTTCATATGCAGCTGCCTCTATAACCATTCAAATAAAAACGATGACTGTGTCTTGAGATGATCATTATCAGGAGTGCTTCAGGAAGACTGATCTGGCATGAGCGGTCAGGAGAGATTAGAGAGGGGGAAAAGGATGGAAGCTGAAACGCTCTGGGAAAGTTAACACAATGATGTGAAATAACAACCCAACAGCTCCCACCCCAATGATGCAAGTGCTTCTGTTTGTGGTCCCGGCTCCCAGGAGCCCTGGGAGGCCATTGTCTTCATCCTACAGAAGAGGAATCGGAGGTCCAGAGAAACTGGGTAACTTTTCCTGGGTCACACAGCCAATAAGAAGGGAGGCCAGGTATGAACCCTGACTCTCTGTCTCCAAATTTTGTTTTCTTGCCCTAGACGGGCCCTGAGTGAACGGGAGGGAAGTGGGAGGTCTTGGAGAATGAGGACCAAGAGAACAGAGAGGAAGGATTTCCATTCCATTTGACAGCTGTTTTGCACCTGGGATGGGTCTGAGGTCAGGGATGAAGAGGACAGGGTCATGCTGCACCAAGCAAAACCAAACTGGCCCTTTCACTCGTACAGGTTGGCTAGATGAAACGTATGTCAGTGCCCGTGGTGTCGCAGCTCAACGGTGTGGCTTGGTTGATGGCCTGGGGCCAAAGAGAGTTGCTGGCCCCTCAGCAGAGGGCTCAGTGTCTACTCACACGATGCCCGGTAGCCGGGTGATGCTCGCTGGTGGGCAGAAGGACCTGGGGCAGAGCAGAGAGGAGACGGCCAGCCCACCCCTGGCCTGGGAAGATGCCTTGGTGCCTAACAGTTCAGCTGGGCTGGCACTGGGAGTAGGGACTGCCCCTTCTGTCGCTAAGACCGTGCCCACTGGGCCTGGGGAAGATGGCAGCAGTGCATGTCAGATTTGAGGATAAAGCTGTATTTTCCTTAGTTTCTAGTGAGTTAGGACTTCTCTCCATCTGCCGGGCAGTGGCTTTGTGTCAGTTGTATTCATGTGGCCTTTCCCTCTAAAACCAGAATGTCTTTTATCTTTCAGTTAATGAGAATGTTTCTTCCTGTTTGATTCTATTCTCCCATCCTCTGATAAGTAAATCCTTCACCACTTAACATTGCTGCCTCTGCTCGCTACACAATGCAAACTTTTTTAGAGCCACTTTAAAGGGAAGGATGACATCATATGGTATGAATGCACAAGATGGTAACAGCATCTCAACCTCCCCGTCCCTGCTGAGAAGAGTGTGCCCCTGCATTACTATGTTCTGGATCAGATGGAAGTGACTTAGCCCCTTTACGCCCCACCAGAATGGCTGAGCATTTAAAGTGGCCCCTCTAATGAACAGAAATCCCCTTCCCAGGCATTAGCTTTCTTGGGAGCAAGAGTTCGGCAGCTCCCTTGGTGCCAACTGAATGGTCTTTAATGGTGGGCATGTAACTGCTTTATGCAGAGCTGGAGACCCGTTTAAGGATGCTTTGCCATTGATTAGGAGCTGGGAGTGTCCATTCTTCCTCTGGGAACCTACCAAGCTCCAGGCCCGGGGTAGGGGTAGGGCGACCTGAAAAGGACTGGAGGAGGGGGTGGAGGTGTGTGCAGAAGCCAGGCTTGAAGGCAGCATCGTATAGTGATTCAGCACCAAGGCCTGGAGTCGGGGTTCCAACCCATGCTGACCTGGGGCAAGATCAGTCACTCTGCCTCGTTGGGCTCTAATGTCCCCTCTCTATAGTGGGCTAGCATATGGCTCTGGGGAGGATTAAGTAAACACATGTACAGTGTTCAGAATGGTGTCTGGCACAAGTTGGCTTCCAGTGATACCAGCCACCCTGAGAGCACCGTCATCCCCAGCTTCCACGCGGCCAGGGTGGAAGGGTGGGGGTAGCTGTCTCCCTTTTGGCATCTCTCCACTCTAGGCAAGGGAAGATCTTTCTTTAAACCCTGGTTTTCAGCTCAGACAAATCATAAGAGCATTCACGTATGGAGTTTATCCTCATAGTGACTCTGCAAGATAGTATATTACCACCACCCCCATTTTGCAGGTGAGAACACCTAGGCATAGAGAGCCGGGTGAGCTGCTCAAAGTCCCGTACAGGGCAGAGCCAGGATTTAGCTGAAGCAGTGCTGATTCCAAAGGGGTGGCACTTTCAGCCACCACACTGTCTGCCCCTCCAGCAAGTCCCGTCTGAGCCATGCTGAGCCCCGGCAAAGCCTCGCGTCAGGGACACGCCTGCTCCCTTGACCTTGACATGGTGGGGGATCTAGGCTGTGCAGCACCCCCAGCTGCTGCAGAAGGAAGCCCAAGCATGGGGCTTGCTGGGCCCCCTCCGCTTTGTTTACTGCTCTGTTCCCCCGTCAGCTGGCGCCTGAGTGCCCTGCTCGGGGCCACCCCTCCTACTTGACCCACCGCTGCTGAGTCACTCCCAGCTCTGCTTTTCTCTGTGGTTTATAAACCGTTTAGATGTTTTGCCCTTTTTTTTGCTAAGTCTGTACCTCTTTGCTACTGTGTTTCCCTTCTTTTAATCACATTCAGAGACCATTTTCCTCCTAAAAATGAAAAGATTGCCTTTGGTCTTCTCCAAAGCCATGCCTCACACTGCTTCACCCCGGTGGGCTCTCCTGCAGGTGGGCAGCCTACATCTTTGTCCACCCCCACCCCGCACCTGCAGTCCTGCCTTTTTAGTTAATCACCCTGGACAAATCTAGGAGAAAAGCAGCTACTCCTTACTGATGTTGCAAGGGTATTACCAGGATAGAGGGAGAGTTTTAGGTGTGAAGAGTTCCAAAGAAGGTCATTCATGAGGGGCAGGTGGTGGTGCTGATTGGATGGAAGATCCTGTCTTAGAAGAGCGTCTCCTTTTACTTGCTGGTTTGGCCAGTGAGATGCTCAGCCACTCTTACACTTCCTAAATCTTAGGTACCTGTGTTTTGGGACCCCTATTCTATATTCTAAAATGCACCTTTAGTGCACACCATTGTTTTGACAGTAAAATAAGAATTAAATAAACTGCTTTTGAAATTCTGTGGCCATGACTAACTCATCTAACTGACCATTGACCATGACTTCTCAGCAACCATGGTACATCCTTGAGATTCTTGCACAGCAAGAAAATCTGCTGTAGACTGCGAACACAGTGGATTTTTGTCATATTAAATTTGACAATTAATGACCTTGACATAGTGCTGCACTTTGTAACATCTATTTAAACGTTAGTTGGTTTGCATTTAAGGTTTTGTTCTCAGGTTTGGAAGCTGATGAATTTTGTTCATAGGTGTCTTATTCCATAGACCGTTGCAACGCTCAGAGGCCCCGAGCCCTGTGTCTTAAGGGCTGATGGGTAAAACAGTCTAGGGAGAAATTCTTCCTTCACCCTTTCAGCTTTGAGTTTCTAGCCGTGAATATAGGTTCCGCCTTACTAGTTCTTCCGAAGCAGAAGAGCTAGGAAACCACGTTTGCACACTGTTTTTATCCAGTACACGTTTATCAAGAAAGCGAATGAACGACAGATTCCCAAGAGGCTGTGCCAAGGTTCGAATGGATACCAAGTAGAATTTTGGCTGTTTAGGTAGATTTGTGTCCTTATACAAAATCTGTGGGACTGCACTCTCTATGAGAGGAGGTTGACGGTGAATATTCATTTTCAAACAACGCCGTGTGTTTATGTCGAAGCATATGTTAGACTGTTAAATCAAAAATTCATGTTTTTCCCTATTCCCAGGTCATATATGGAATTTTTTTTCAAGCAGTGATCCTATGGTTACACTATATATACTAAAACCATATGGTTTTCTCAAACTCTTCTTTGTATTTTTAAAAATGCATATTAATGAAATGTTGGGGGCAACAAAACTTGATTGAGAACAGTTTGAATATGTGGTTCTGGAGAAAGCAAAGGCTTCCATTGCGATGAACTACAAGCTGTTAATACATTTCAAATGTGTTGCTAGACTGAAAATGATCATTTTCCAGAACATATTCAGAAAAGGCTGACCTTTCTCACGATGCTATTGCATGGATGAATTCACAGTCATACCCATTTCCATGTAGCCAATGTGGAAACAAGGGTTTTTGAGGTGGACAGTTTATATAGGGAGCTAGTGGGAAGAATTTTGAGAAGACAAATTTATAATCACTTTTTACATTTCATCAGTTCCCTGAATGGTTCCTTTAGTCATTTTACCACCTCTATTGGTATTACTGGTGGTGTGAGAAGAGGTGGTCTTTTTGGTAATAAGCCCAAGGAGGTGCTGCAGCTGGAGCTTGGGAGGAAAGGCCTGCCTTCTACCCATTTTCAAAGCTTCTAAAATCTGCTTAGCACATCTCAGCTTCGCCTCGTGCTCCATATTTCTGTTGTTTGCAGCCATCTCTCCTCTAGGGAGCCATCAGTCATCTTAAAGTATTATGGCATGGTGGCTAGAGCGATGTGCCTGGACTTTTCTCTGAATTTAATAAAACATAAAAGCCACATCTATATGCCTCTGGTGGGATCAAGAGAATTCTGACCAAATACACCCAGTTCAATGAGATCCATTGACTCAGCTGGAGTCTCGCTCGGCTCCGCGAGAGGCCTTGCAATCACTCGGTTTTGCAGTTTTCCTTTTGGAAATTCTGCTTAACACAATGGGCGTCGCAGCACTGGGGCAACACGTGGGTTTCCGTTAAGATGCATTTGCCTGAATACTGGAAATGGGTGATCTGGTTTGAAACAGAGCCAGCTTTTTTCTAAACTTCCTCATTTTGAGTGGGTTAATTCTGTTCTAGGAAAAAGCTTTGACAGAATTGCTTTCTGAGCGCCAGCAAAATGTTATGTTAGAAATAACGGTGTTTACTTCCATTCTCTATTTTTTTCCATAAACTTTTAGATGTCCATTTCCTAAATCTGACTTTTATTATTTGACTTGACCTCGCCAATATAAATGGTATTAGGTCATTATTGCCATCCGTATAATGGCGCTCTCCGCCTCACAAAATAGGAAAAATAAGCCTTTCCACCCCCGAAACACGAAGCTGACCTACCTGCTCTGCTAAGGAAGTCAGAAACGGATGGAGCCAACTTGAACTCTGCCCCGTAGGAATTCTTTACATTCCATAAAGGACTGGGACCTGTAGATCAGCCGGAGAGTCACCAGGAATCCTCATCTTAGGTCAGGTTCCTCAGACTCAGCTTGGGCTGGGGAAGCTTGTGCAGGTGATTAATGAAGCCTGTGTTTTCGGGAGAGAGGAAGTGAGGAAGCAGGCTAGAGCAGGGAAAGGTTCAGGAAGCTTGTGGACTTAGCTGGGCTCTTGCTCCAGTCTGACCCCATGGGGATCTCCGGGCATGAACAGCATCATAGAACTGGTCCCTCTCTGAGGCAGGAGGGCTGGCGTCTGGTACCCTGTGTCAGTCCGTCGGGGTGAGGGCTCCCTGGGGGTGGCTGAGGCAGTACCTCTGCAGCCAAGAGTGGGTCTCTGGAGAAGGGGGAAGCCTGGGGGACACGAGCAGCTGAGGGATGGGTGCCCAGCCTGGGGAGGGAGCTCTGGGTGGGACACCGACAGCACCCACCTGTATCCCTGAAGCAAGGATGCCTGGAGCTCAGAGTCTATTCTCACCGCTGTTCTGTTTCCTTTCCCGCCTCCCAGGGAGCGGGCAGATCCAGCTGTGGCAGTTTCTCCTGGAGCTCCTGTCAGACAGCTCAAACTCCAACTGCATCACCTGGGAAGGCACCAACGGGGAGTTCAAGATGACAGATCCGGACGAGGTGGCCCGGCGCTGGGGAGAACGGAAAAGCAAACCCAACATGAACTATGATAAACTCAGCCGGGCCCTCCGCTACTACTATGACAAAAACATCATGACCAAAGTCCACGGGAAGCGCTACGCCTACAAGTTTGACTTCCACGGCATCGCCCAGGCCCTGCAGCCCCACCCTCCAGAGTCTTCCCTGTACAAGTACCCCTCGGACCTCCCTTACATGGGCTCCTATCACGCCCACCCACAGAAGATGAACTTTGTGGCCCCCCACCCTCCGGCCCTACCCGTGACGTCGTCCAGTTTTTTTGCTGCCCCCAACCCATACTGGAATTCCCCCACAGGAGGCATCTACCCCAATGCTAGGCTCCCAGCCAGCCACATGCCTTCGCATCTGGGCACTTACTACTAAAGACCCGAGAGAGGCCTTTCTCAACCACATGCATCACCAATAAATTGCCACAAACTCTGTTGTAGAACATGAATCAGAAGTGCCTCAAGAGGAAGGACCACGCTTGACTGGGGCTGGGGGAGGACGCCGGGGAAGAGGTTCAAAGACTCTTAGCGGGAGGGGATGACTGAAGTATTGCTACCAAAATCAAGAGGATGCTACCAATGTAATGCACACGGGCGTATCATCTGTGACCAACCTTGTAAAAGACATTGTAAGTAGAAGCATGAAGTCACAAGGACAAAGTGCCAAAGAAAATGTTCTGAAGGTGTGTGGAGACTTTAGAGTGGACTCTGGGATCCTGCTCGTGCAAACTGGGGTTCAAGTAAAGCGACAGAGATCACACAGTCTGGACCGAACATGCCGTTTCTCATGTCATTTTAA